TTATGTTGTTACTAGCGTTTGCCAGCGACTGCTCCCGCGTGGAATTAAAAATCAAAAGTACACAGCCTATGAGTTCGTCCAGACTCTACATCTATGCAAAATTTCATCGATATCCGTTCAATAAATAGTTTAGGCTACAAACTCGAACAAACATCCATCTTAACTCTCGCATTTGTAACATTTTTAAATATTTATAAGTTACATTTTCCATTGTTTGTTAAGCCTTAAAGTGAATAAACCTTATGTTACCTATAGAATCAATACAATCCACTCCTTTTGTGGTCTCTGAGTCAACATCTACAACTGGTTTACGATAGCCAAGCGACGTTACCCAGCCGATTTGCAGAGTCGTGATTTATCTCAGTAAGTCCATCACAATTCTGTCATCTTACATTCGACAGCTAGGCATGGAATGCGATCACGCCATACTACGTTATTCTCGATAATTTAAATAAGGTTATACGTAAGACTAGTTATTGGATGTTTTTATGACGAAAATCGTATTAAAATATTGGATTTCAGATTCTCGATTTAGTATTGACATTCCTTTATCCTTTTTATCTCATTGCTTGGATGAATTATAAATTTGTTAGATGGTGTTATCTTAATCGATGTGGAATAGATATTGTTTAGGATTCAAAGATATTTGGTGAGGTTATATAATAGCTGTTGGTCGCGACTTTGCCCGTGTGAAAATATAGCCTATATTACTCAGTGATAACGTAGCTTTTTAATGGTGAAAGAATTTTTAAAATCGGTCCAGTAGTTTTAGAGTTATTTCAATACATACAATTAGACTCCAAAAATCAAACAAAAAAATGGGACCCAACTGCAAGCATTACCTTTCGGATAAAAAAAGAATTATCAAAATCGGTCTACTAGCGGCGGAGTTATGCGGTAACACACATAAAAAAAAATAATAATAAAAAACATACAGACGAATTGAGTACCTCCTTCTTTTGGGAAGTCGGTCAAAAATACAAATCTTTCCTCTTTATAATATTAGTATAGATATGGATAAAAGAGGAAGAGCTATAGAACAAATGTCAATGAATTTAACATTGGAATTAAAACCATAAGATATATGTTATTAAATTAGTTTAATTACATTTTGCAGGACAAAGAGATGTAATAAAACGTGTAGCCTGATTCACTCTAAATATTTAAAGTACTGAGCGCGAGAGAAATCAGGATTTCTTCGAAACTTCGAACATTCGAGGTCAAATACTGCATACATCACTGTTATCATACATAACAGGACTTGAGAAGCCGTATTGTATGAGAATACTCTTTAGTCACATACCAATAATCTCTGAGACATTTCCAGTGTTAAGAAAAATCATGTGCAATTCTTAACTACTGATCTATCCCAGCTTTGCTTGACAAATCCATTCGCTTTCGTCGATATTAAATATAAGTTTATGTTAGCTTTCTAATAGGTAAAGAATTTTTAAAATCAGTGCAGTAGTTTCCAGGTTTTTAAATGCAAACGCTCATATTTGCTCTAAATTAGTGTTTAATCAATTGTTTATTGAATATGGGACGATTAATATGTTTTCTGGATAACAAACAAAGCATAGCAATATTTTTACCTCAATAATGATGTATTGACGATAATTATATGCCGACATAAATCATTAACGCCTGATAACTTCAATAAATAATAAGGAAAATTGACGTAAAAACAATGCAAAATTCCTCAGTTAGCGTAGGGGTCAGACTTCACAAATATCTTGTTTTTACCTTAACAATAACAATGGCAAAGTTACGAGAAATTATGAGTGAAAAATTCTTTATAAAATATGCAATATTTTATATCGACGTACACTTATTTTAAAAAATCAAATACATATAACTATGTTTGTCTACTCTGACACACATAATGATAGTTTATCTGTCAGTTAAGAAGTACTAACAGTAACAGACCGCTTAACTGACAGATTCACAGAACACTTTCTCTGCAAAGACCAGCCAAATTATTCATTACTAAATACAAGACTGTATTTAGGTCGCTAATAAGTCATAGAAAAAACCGTACAGCGAAAGTTTAAAAATTAAGTTTCACTGTCACATATTTTATCAAGTTACGGGCTAAAGCCTTGCCTAAGTTATGGGTGACATATACACTCCGGGTTGACTTCACACTTATCTTTGAATTTCTTCGCCGATATGTACAAGTTGAATCATAATGTTTTCCTTTGCCGTGTAGAACAATGTACATTTGAAATTCGAACATTATATTGATACATAGCGAGGTTAGAACCCAAGACTAGTAAATTATAAGTCAATGCTCAAACCCCTGAGCCACTTATACGCCTTACTTTATTATGAAGTGACCTACGTGTTATTGTAAAGTGACAAATTTTGAGTATTAATAAAATATGACATGAGGTAGGAGAACATTTTTGCTTGCAAATAACCTGTTACAAATCACAAAAAAAGCAAATATTTTAAGTATGTACACATACTGACGAACCCAAACAGACGTCTGTAGTCTATACAAACAAGTTTTGTATATCCGCAATCAATAGATACATACATCCGTGGGTTATCTTGAAAAATCGTGATTCGTGTTTTCGTAACGTAATTGGCAATTAGTATCAGATGTGTGTAGCCTACATAGTACACTAATAAATCTTACAAACTTCATCGATAACTTTACGAATTGCTCGCAACTGTCACACTATTACGTAATAGACCCTTTATTACCGTTTTAACGTGATTATCATCAACATCATCATCACCATCATCAGCCTTTGTCGGCCTACTGCTGGACTTCCCCAATGCCTTCCACAGAATGCGAAAGTTATATCGACTTTACAAATTTTCATATTGCTACTCTAAAATCTTTGAGCGAATTAGACAGATATTATTAAAACTTATTAATTTATCTTAAACTTAACATTACATAATCGATTATAAAAGAACTTGGGACATAAAGCAACTTAAGTATTACTAGAGTGGAATAAAGAACTTGCTTATAATTCAAGCAATAATCCAATATACCGGTTTGTTTGTATGTCCGAAAATCTGACTTTGAATTTGTTGCTTACTTAAAACTTATAAATTTTAGTAGTTAAAAAATAGGACTAGGAAACAAAAAATATAACTGGAATACGTTTCTCACATATCTCAAAAAACACTTTTATACAATATTTTTAACAGTCCAATATTCTAAGCCACACACGGATATTTAGGTATTACATCGCCTTATTATATTTCAATTTGTACATATAAATAGAGATGGAAGAATTACGTGAAAGGTGACATGATCAAGGAGGACTAAATACGGATGATAGAATTATTTAGAGGACGAAAACCCGGTGCGGCGACACTCCGGGAGCAGGATAATGGGGAATAGTAGGGGATATGATGATGAAATAAAAGCTATAAAAATCCTTGATCAGCACGCATAATAATCTGAAATATTTCATGTTGTATTGAATTAATCGTCTCCCTTGTGTAGTTCTTCATTTTTTCTTGTACGAATTCGAAAAAAGTCCTTAATTCCGTTTCCTGTTGTGATTTATTTGTCGTAATATTCACTGCACTGAATTCCTCCATAGTGTGTAGTTCATAAGGCATTTGTACTTCGGGATCTAATTTTATCTTTTTAGTTAATGGTTCAGGTGATGTAGATGGACTGCTGGCGTTATCCTCAGCCTGTCAACAATAGTGTGTGTGATCGATTGTTACTAATATCACGTTGTTGGACTGAAAATACTAAAAAAGGTAGGTAGACCGAAAAGTCAGTAGGAACTTCGTTTCGTCCGTTATACGCTATTCCTTTCCGTTCGATTGCAATCGATAGAAATTGAAGTCGTGTTTTAAATAATGAAGGTATACTGTCATAATAAAAATCTACATACTTGTTCGTTATCTTCAGACTCAAGTCGTCTTCGATATGTGAAACGTTCGTCTAAGAATCCCAGCGCTTTAAATGCATACCATTTACTTTCGTACATCTCATCTTTTCCTGTCACATAAATAATGTCAAATTAGATCCAGTGTACAGATAACAAAATAAATAATATAATAAGTGTGGAAGTAATTACCTTTTCCTGATTCTTTAGTTTTTTTAATTTTCATACGCTCTCTTCTGTACGAAGCCAATAAAATGATCATCTTTTGTTTGCACGCCTCCCCACTTTCGTTCAATGAACTTCCGATATTAGCCCACGCGTCTTCTTTTAAATTCTTTTTGTAATAATCTTTGTGTTTCGGGTTCCAAAGTATACTATGCTCTTTGTAGGCGTCTATCAAAGAAAGGCATTTATGCTCTGACCATTCACTCATGACGAATAAATATTAGCTGGTTCGTTGCGGCTCGCAACAACCTCCCGCCTTGAAGTCTGCGAGCGCACTGCGCTCGTTGCGCGCTCGCGAACCACGCACATACGAACACGTACGGTTATCGTTGCATGAAAGAGAAGGTTGTCGCCGTCGCATCGGCTCGTTGGTAACCGCATGCGAACCGATCGCATAAAGGTGCGTGTTCACTGGAGTTACGCGGTGTAATATTAAGGTGAGTACTGAACAAAGTTACGTGATGTAATTAAATTTTTATACGGCGTTTTATGGAGAATCCAGCGAGCAACGAACCGCTCGATGCTATATACGCCTCTTCATATTACACAGAGTACGAAGAGAATAAACCTTTACGCTTCGCTAATGAGTACACAGCACTAAAAGTACATACATATTATAAAATTGGAGTATTTGTTTGTAATACCAAAAGAAAAATTACAGATTTCGGGAAGTTGATATATTTGCTAATAACGAAAATGACATTTAAAAATTTTTCCTATCTGTCTGTCCGTAAGGGCTGATTTTGATAGGACTTTCACTGAAGGTTACTTTTTTACCTTACATTACGTGGACAAAGTCGCGGGCAACAGCTAGTTCTAAATAATATTAATGTTTTATACTTTTTTCTTACAATATTAAAAAAAACAATTAAACTAACAATTTGGAGACATAAAATACCAAATCGTATCGAAAACAAGAATAAGGAAAATAAAAAATTGAAAAATTATGATGCAATCGTTTTATTAGTTGCCTATAGGGGGCGCCCTGATCGACAAGATTGGTAACGTAATAGACAAGTCATGAATACTACGCAAAAAGTATGTCCTTCAGATAACAAATGCAAAATTAAACCAACATCAAAAGAACGCAGACGTATTTACAATCAGCTCGTGAAAGTGGCGCCAACCAGTACAAACTTACAAAAAACGGAACGTTCATATACCGCAATGTACATCGCTCGCTACATCAGTTACCTTTTTCTTTTTACTAACATAAAGTGTAATGTATGTTGTTATATGTTACAAATCGTGTATATTGTTAAATCTAAGCGGTTTGCCGGTGAAATCGTTTACATTTAGTACGAGGAAATAACGGTCTTACAGTGAGCATCATTAAGCGTATCCTTATTAAAATGATGTTATTAGTTTTTTCTCTTTTTAAATTTTACATGAGGAATTTGCGTGTAGTTCGACATACAATGAATAATTTTTAGGTTAGGTTACTTACGGTATTGGATCTTAGAAGTATGCAATTTACCTGAAACCAAAAATTAACGTATAATATAAAAACAAATAAACATTTTAAAATGGCTGTATTAGCCAAATACAAATCCAAACAAGAATCAGTGCTAGCTTCATGCATGTGAGCATTTACATGCCAGTAACTGGTATACGAGTGTGCCAGCTACTGGAACGGCCTAACAGTAAAATTAAAGAGAACCGTAAACTTTACTGAAACAATAGATTCTGTTGCAACAGGTGCGTATGTGGGGCACATTTTATCTCCGATACTATTCATAAGGCAAAATATACCTTATTATAAATAACTAAGATTCAGTTTGTAATAATGAGTTCATTGTTATAGTTTATACAGAATGAGGTAACTATTGATATCCAGTTCGATTATATTTAATTAACCTTTATAATATTTATATGGTGAATAAACAGGTGATATTTCATGTTTTTTAACAAATTTTACCAACAACAAACTACTACTATTATAACGAAGCGTAAACACACACTTCTTTGTTGCCTAAGATGTTAGCAAATACAGCATATTTATGAATAATTCTTTGTTTAATAAAAAGCCCTACACTTACGACACGCTTTAGGCTATATATATTCACGCTCTTAAACATAGGAGGTAAATAAATTGGAAAAAAACCTTCATGTGGGAAATGAACCATAAATTACAAGTTGCCAACATTAAGGAAGCAAGGTTATTTTGTCACTCGCAATTGAGAATTTGAAAGAACAAAAGTACAAAACATTTACAGTGGACGTGAGAATTAAAATACTAAAAAATAGTCTAAAAAGTTCGATAGCCACTCGACATAACTTTTTCGCTTTAATTCTAAATAACATTGCTTATATTCGGAAGTAAAAATACTAATGATTTCTGCTATACACATGTGCGTGCAACTACAAACGATATATCACAAGTCTCGTGATTAAACAATTAACTCATCGTTATACGTAGATAACAGTAGTCGTAGTAATAGCATTGTCATTAACAGGTGCTCTATCCAGTCATGTCACGTCTCTTACAATTAATATTGCAATGTCCATTACGACACGGTCAATTCGTTTATCCTCTTTCCTTGTAATATGAAGAAAGGTTCTGAATTCCACGTTGTTTTATTCTTCCATGACTTTCTCATTCCAGTCGACCTGCTTACCAAAATTATAATCATAGATCAATTCATCAAATCTATCAAAACAAAGAGTATCTAAATATTATACTGTCTGCACAACATATTCTATGTTTAGCTGCCATATTGTTTTTATTTTTCTTTTATAAACGTTATCATAGAGTATACATGATTAGACAATAAACGTGGTAACTAAATTATTTGTCCTTTCATCAAATGTTTCTTGACTTAACATTTTCTAAAGTAGCACAAATCCGTGATACTCATCCTACACCATTATTGCTGCAAGATTGAGTCCTTTCATATCCATTAGTGAATTAATGACTAGATGACTTTGTCAGATATCTCTGGACAATATCGGTTAAATACACACTTGTAACTGAAATTAAATGATTTTGCTACATACAAGATGAGTTAAAAAATAATGTTCAATAAACCAAAAAAATAATTTCTTAGTAAATATCCTTTCTTATATTGTTACGTATTTACATTAATATTTCAGGATATCAGTACTACAAAGTGGGAATTATCGTTTCTAGAATACATAATTTCCGTACATCTTAGTAACAATGAATAGCGTATATTGTGAAGGACCACTACACTTAAGGTATCAACATTTATCATTATGATTAAGCAAAAATAATGCAATATTTCTCATACTTTATCGATTGATAAATTTTATAGTACCACTTAGAAAATAATAAAGATACATAAGTATGTATAAACTGTTTATGAAATAGACAATTATTATGAACTAAAATCAAAGAGTGATAATATTTTATTGTTAACTATCTGCAGATTGTCTACTCTTTGAAATGCATAGACTAAAGATTGTAAAGAGAGAGATTTTTTTGTGAAATGTACCTATTGTCTTAAAACGGACAGGCGATTTTAATCCTTATTTGTAAACATGTTACGTCCATATTAATATATCCGGGGTCCGTAAATGTGTAAACGAAGGTTGATATGACATAATTAGAAAACCTTGGATTATGTAACGAACCTAACTTGAATAAGTGTTTTATTATGATCAGAATTTAAAGAATTCTCACCTATATCACAGTAACGAGTTTCGTAACACTTACGTCATTACCAATGGAGGATAACATAATAAAGGTTTTTTCTTTTTCTTTGAATGTTATGTTTAATTTATTAGTTATTAGAAAAAATAAATCATATTTTTACAATGTTCCAGAACAATATTAAGTGTTTACTGTTGTGATCAAATATTATTAGATTATGTGATGTGTTCTTACATTTCTTAATTTTTTTTTGTACTAATTAATTCTCGGTCCTATCATAGTTCTCTTATAAAAAAATATACAGACGAATTGAGTACCTCCTCCTTTTGGGAAGTCGGTCACAAAGCATTCGCCCGCGACTTCGTCCGCATAGAATTAAAAAAACAACATAAGTGATTAGTCTATGAGTTCTTTCAGACTATTTCTACATTTATACCAAATTTCATCGAAATGCGTTCAGTCGTCTAGGCTACAACTCAAAAAACATCCATCCATCCAAACTTTTACATTTATAATATTAGTAAGTATGATTAATAAATGTTAGTAAGAAATACTCCTATTCTATTACTTTTATGTATACTGAAATTAACTTTAATTACTACAATTATTTACGTAATATTAACTCATCTTGAGCACAAGTAAATTAGCCGTGACACATTATTAATCACATGATTGTAATAGTGGGTTTTTACAACCGAAATTCTCTTACGAACAAATATTGTCATCTCACTCTTACTCGTTGTACAAATTGAGACAACAAAACGTATAAAATTAAAAGTACCAGTGGATGCTCACGTTAACATTTGATAGGTTATTTACTCAAGTTTTATAAAAGACAAATGACACTGTGTTATGGAAATTATTAAAATTGTCAATATTATCAGCGCGGTTCACCATTATCGATATTTCTCGAAAATTCGTTGACTTACGAAATCAGTGGAGCGTATTTGCGAAAGATCGACCGTGGGTTTATGCATTTACCTCAATTCGTGTTACTCATTGCTCGTTAAATCTCAGAAATTCTTGATTAAACACATCTGTCACTTAAATCTTACTAATATTATAAATACGAAAGTTTAGATGGATGTTTGTTAGATTGTAGCCTAAACTGAACGGATCTCGATGAAATTTAGCATAGATGTGGATAGTCTGGAAGATCACATCTTGGAAGAAAACTAGACATAAGTATCTATAAAAGAAATCAACGAAAATCTTGGATCCTAAAAGATTTAAGCAAGATTAGGAGTCTAAAGTTCTTTCACATTGTCCCATTTGAAAAACCGTTTCGTCTAACTTTAGTATGACAATGCGTTTTCATCATCCACTTGCCCTTACGGAGGGTCGGCACAATATGTGCTGCTCTTCCATACATCTCTATCAGCCGTCATATCTGAATCCACTCCTTTCTTAAGCATATCCTCTTTCACACAATATATCCATACTTTCTTCGGTCTTCTACTTTTGTAGCCAACACTTCTGATTTATGTCCCCATCGTTTCGTCGCATAACATGTCCATACCACGCAATAACAATAACAATGCGTTTTGATGGCAATTAATACAAAGTGAGTTTACCACAGATAATATAATATCAATGCACACTGGCTTCCTTTATTGATTGAAAACATCCAGAAATAGAACTGAGAAAGCTTACAAGCAATGACTAACGACTATTACACTAAGTAATGTTTATTGAAGAATTGCTTTTCAACTTTGCAAATTGCCGGCCAGTCGAGTTTTTGCCATCACCTTGTCCACTGCAATATCTGTTCTGTTCGAAAG